CAGATTACCAAAGGGGTTCATTCTGTCGGTGGCAAGCCCAAGCCTAAGGTTTCTTGGCTCAACTCCAAAATCCGAAAATAAAGAATCAATTTTCTTCCATTGCAACGAATCAGCTACATGGCGAATATTTCCATCACGAGTCCTTTCATCTGCATGCCATCTAAGATTCTTTGCGTCATTTGGATTAGCAAAAAATCTATTAAATCGTGAAATTATTGGCAAGTACCATAACACTTTAGCAGGAGGATGCTTCCTACTAACATTGTCATAGTCATTGTCATCACCATTATTGGCCTTCAGCTTGTAACGTGACACACCATATTTTGGACATTGATACAAGTCTTCATACTTTTTCTGGTATAATATGCAATCATTAAGGCAAACATGTATTTTGATATACTCCAGATCCATTGGACATAATATCTTTTGGTCTCATAGCAACGATTCAACAATTTGTTATCTCCTGGTAACATTATCTTTAGCATATCAAGTAATTTCATGAAAATTTTATCCGACCATCCATTTTTTCCTTCAGATTAAACAACTTTAACACCGCCGACAATCTTGTAAAATCTGTGCATCCCTTATATAAAGGGGTGTCTTTATCACTAAATAAAGTATCATAAATATGAGCATTCTTAAAAGAAGATTCGTCAATATCACGAAACATATCCTCTAGTTGATCTTCCATATATTCATCTTCATCCACTCTTTGAATTTGTGACGCCCGACTTTCCTCTTTATCCACCTCACCATGCCAAGTCCATATTATATAATTTTGACATATATCATCACAACAAATGTGATGGAATACTTCTTTCTTTGTACCCTTTTTGATATTCGTGCAAACAACACAAGGACAATAATAGGGTTTCAGCTATGCACAAAGAAAACCTTGGATTACACCTTGAGTTTGAGTGATTCATATATTAAGAGTTGGAGAGGTAGGGAAACACTTGGGTAGAAAATAGGGTTGTTCTTGGGTGTCTTCAGGGTTGTTCTTGGGAACCTGAAAGCGAAGAATATTTTCTTGTAACTCATATGTAATCTCTTGTAACAACTTTCTAAGTATAGTGAATTGAAGAGCTGCTCTCTCTCCCAAAATAGATAGTTTGATCGAACTAAGCAAAGAAACCTTCAATTTTTTTCTTGTCTTATTTTATTATATTATCTGTGTACATATTATTATTGTTGAATACCATTTATTTTGGTTGTTATTGTTCTTTTCTTTACAAATTGATATTGAATTTTATCGTAATTCACGACAAGATTCACAACAAGTGATGCGGTGAGCATGAAGCAAAGAGATATTGTTGACAAGTGAGCACCATGGTTAGTAGATGGAAGATCGAGAAATTTTTCGGTAACAACAACTTTGGATTGTGGAGAATTAAGATACAGGCAATTTTAATTCAAAAGAAGTGTATCGATCCTTTGAAGATTGAAGCATTGATGCCTACAGGGCTTACACAAGTACAAAAGACCGAGATGGTGGATAAGGCCAGGAGTGCCATTATCTTCTGCCTCAGGGATAAAGTTCTAAGAGAAGTTGCCAGGGAGAAAACTGCGGTTTCTATGTGGGAAAAACTTGAATCATTGTATATGACAAAGTCTTTGACTCACAGGTTGTATCTGGAACAACAACTCTAGTAATTCTGAATGGTGGAGAACAAGTCCATAGTTGAGCAGCTCATAGAATTTCATAAGACTATCAATGATATTGAGAATATTTAAGTGAAGATTGATGATGAGGACAAGGTGTTGCTCCTTTTGTGTTCATTACCCAGATCCTTTGAGCACTTTAAGGATGCCCTTCTTTATGGTAAGGAAGGTACTATTACTTTGGATGAAGTCCAGACGGCGGTGAAATCCAAAGAATTTTTAAAGTCGAAAGATTTGAAGATTGAAGATAGTGGCGAAGGCTTAAATGTGTCAAGAGGAGGAGATGAGTGTAAAGGGATGTCCAAATTAAAGAGGTCTGACAAGTCGAAGGTAAAATGTTTTAATTGTCAGAAAATCGATCACTTTAAAAGGGATTGTCCTGAAAGAAAGGTCAATGAAGATTCTGTTCAAGTTGTAGTTTCATTTTGTGAGGAAAGTTATGAGGATGCCGAAGCACTAGTAGTATCGAGTTTTGAAATTGAAGATAGTTGGGTCATTGACTCAGGTTGCTCTTATCACATGTGTCCAAGAATAAATACTTTGAAACTTTGAAGATTGTGCAATGTGGAGTAGTTCGCCTTGGTAATAATAAGGCATGCAAAGTTCATGGTATTGGTACAGTCAGATTTAAAATGTTTAATGATCGTGAACTTCTTATTCACAATGTGAGGTATGTTCTAGAACTCAAGTGAAATTTGTTATCTATAAGTATGTTTAATGATCTAGGCTATTGTACTAGAGTTGAACATGGAGTGTTGAAGAGTTCGCGTGATGAATTGATTATTTCTAAAGGGTCTACATATGTGGTCTATATATTTTAGAAGGTTCAAATGTTATTATTCATTCACCGTTAACTAGTGGAGGCTTTCATGACAAGGAAAAACTATGAAATTTGAGTTTAATGCGTTATGAATGTCTTGAGAATGTTTCATAGGAGTATAATGAATTTTGCAGAAATCAAGGGATAAAAATGAATGTTACCACTGAGTTGCTATTGATTTTTTTAGGAAGAGCTGAGGTTAAAACAACTTACTTGGCTGGTAGAGAATTTATTCAGAAGAAGAATAGTGAAAACCAAGGGAGAAACCTGGGAAAAATTATAACGGAGAAAACTCAGTTTGAGGTGGAGTTTCCTACTATGGATGCTAGCAGTAGTGAGAGAACGTTTACAAAGATCTCTAATTATCATTTGACTCATGATAAGGTAAGAAGGTTATTGTAGCATCTCAAAGGGACGGTTATGCTAACCTTGGATATTATGTTTTTAATGTGGCTGAAGGATTGCAAAATAAAAGAAGAAAAACCTTCAGGGAGGCATTTTAAAACAGGTGGAATCAAAGGTGGTTGAAAAATCATACTTGTAGGCTTGTTAAATTACCTAGGCAGAAAAGGTAATTGGGAACAAGTGGATGCAAGTTGTGAGATCAAGATTCAAGGGTTGCTTGAATTTGATCAAAGCTATTGATTAAAGTTTCAACTTGGTAGAGAGCAGCAATGTTGTTGATTGTTAAATTGGTATCAATACGGTTTAAAGTCAAAGTGGAGTTTGTTGTAAATGTGACTTAAAACCTTTGTTGGTGAAGATAAAGAAAACATATTTTGGAAATTTCATTTACCGCGAAAATCGGACGAAAAGTCGAGAATAAAAAATTGGTCGGTAATAGTGTCATCCGTATGGTGAATAGTATTATCCATACAGTGAATAGTGTTATCGAGTTTTCGAGCTTTTTCGATTTGGTCCATAGATCTATGTGACTTTGGACTTTGTTTGTTGGGTATTTGCTATTGTAAATATGTATCTCTTATATGCTTGGTGTGTGACAATCTTAGAGTTTTCACCAACAAGGGAGACCAAGGGTTTAAAGGTATAGCATTGAGTTTCAGCTATGCACAAAGAAAACATTGGATTTGAGTGATTCATATATTGAGAGTTGGAGAGGTAGAGAAACATTTGGGTAGAAAATAGGGTTGTTCTTGGGCGCCTTCAAGGTTGTTCTTGAGAACCTGAAGGCGAAGATTATTTTTTTGTAACTCATCTGTAATCTCTTGTAACAATTTTCTAAGTATAGTGAATTGGAGAGCTGCTATCTCCTCCAGAGTAGATAGTTTGATCGAACTGGGTAAACAAACCTTCGATTTTTTTCTTGCCTTATTCTGTTATATTATCTGTGTACGAATTATTATTGCTGAAGACCATTTATTTTGCTTGCTATTGTTCTTTGCCTCACAAATTGATATTGAATTTTGTCGTAATTCACAACAAGATTCACCACAGTTGTAAACCTGACGTTGTTGTTTCGCATTTTGTAGTAGTGTATGGGGAATTCCGACATTGGTTAGGAATATGGAGACTTGAGCATTTACAAATGGGAGAACCCACACACCTATCACCTTAAGAATTTTAGTGAGTATGTAATGTGTCTCTCATAAATGTGTGTTACTCTTAAAGAAAAAGCCCAAAGTGAAAAAATGCTCACTCGTGTTGACCCCTCTGAATAGCCCTGACTTTGGTATCATGAGTCATTGGTTCAAGTGAAGGGACCGACTTACTTGTATCAAAATTCCCTACTGAGTAGGAGGTAGCCTGTTGAAAAGTGTCGAAGACGGTACAAATGTATGTGTATAAAAGAGTTTTCACTTGAGAGGAAGTATTGTGAATAGACTTACATTTGACGAGGAATGTTGAAAAATATTTACAAGTGTGAGTAGTATGGGGAAGTCACACATTAGTTATGAATGTATAGACTTGATCATTTATAAGTGGTAGAATTCACACACCTCTCACCTTAAAGTTTTGAATGAGTATATGGTGTATCACTCACAAAAATATGTTGCTTTAAAAAAAAAACTCCAAAGCACAAAATACTCCCTCGTGTTGACCCCAATTTTTTCATGTTTTTAATAATTTAATAAATACTCACTTTAACATTCTCGACGTTATAATCATGTCCATTAAATCGTCACCTTTTAAATTTCTAATATATCATTTAAAAATTGTTTTCAATTTTTCATAATTTCAATAGCTTATTAAGTAGTGATTCATTATGCAAATACACGATTATATTTTAAGAAGTTTTTGTTCCCAAAAACTTAACATTTCAAAATAGTTTCAAGAATTCATTATGTACTTGAGGCAAAATAAATGACATTATATTTCATAAAGTGGATCTAGATTGGGGCAAAATAGTTATATTGATTTAAGTTTGAGTTTTTTTCTTATATTAAAGTCTTGGAGGAAGTACATTTATATTCAATATATGATTCGTGTGATGCACAAATAGAGAATCTAGCATAAAAATAATAATTCTATAAAATGCAGTTTGGAAACGTGGTACTTTATGGCACTAATTTTGTTCGCGGGATATCTCGAAAATGCAGAAGTCTCGGTTGATGCTTTCTCTATTTGGTATGTAATTTGATAAATTGAATTTATCTTGTTGTTATGTGCTACAAAAATTGATAGTAGCAATAGTGATATGTACTTGGATGAGTAATTTGGATCCTTTATATTAAAAATTAAGATGTAACTAAACACATTCATATTCTTATTGATTTACTTTGCAGCATGAATATATTGGGCTGGACCATCATGGTGTCTTTTGGCATGAACGTTGCCATAAGGTAACACACCTATAAATTTTATTGATAAATAAAAAACAGAAACTGTAAACCATTAAATTCAATGAATTAAACTTTCCAGTGTGAGAGTCTCAAATGAAGTTGGAGCAACTCACCCAAGAACAGCAAGATTTTCACTGGTGGTTGCGGTGATTACGTCGATTTTCATCAGTCTCTTGTTGGCTCTTGTTTTGATCCTCTCGCGGGACAAGTACCCTGCCCTTTTTACCAATGATGCAGAAGTGGCGGATCTAGTTAGGGATTTAACACCATTATTGGCCTTCTGCGTTGTCATTAATAATGTTCAACCCGTTCTTTCCGGTAACACAATTTTTTTTTGTTATCCTCATTAAAATTTTCATGTTTTGAATGTTTAACCACAAAATTAAAGAATGAGTTATCTTTGGTTTAGAGTTTTTCTGAGTAATTTTTTGTATTTATATAGGGGTGGCCATTGGGGCTGGATGGCAAGCTGCTGTGGCCTATGTGAACATTGCATGCTATTATCTATTTGGAATTCCAATGGGTCTTATATTGGGTTACAAGGTTAACTTGGGAGTCAAGGTAACTCATTATAAATTAGTATAATGACGATGAAAATGAGGTGATCCCATCATATATTGTTCAATTTCAGGGAATTTGGTGTGGAATGATGTCAGGGACTATATTGCAGACATGTGTACTTTTGGTAATGGTTTACAAAACTAACTGGAACAAAGAGGTAAGAGATTAATTAATCAGTATATTCATTTTTATTCACAAATTCAACTTAATTGATTTTTCAAACATGCATATTGTCATAATTGCAGGCCTCCCTTGCTGAAGATAGGATAAGGAATTGGGGTGGTGGCCAAGATGTGACTGAAACCAACATTGAAAACATAGAACAGACATGAAAAAAGTAGGATCATGAAAAGGTTTTTATTTCAAGAAAAGTCTTTCACATCTCAACGTCAAGATTGAATACACACCATGCAGGAGCAAATGATCATGTCAAGCTTTTAATGCTCTTTAGTTTTCTTCCTTTCACCACCTACCTAAACATAAGTTTAAGGATGCAAGTGTGCACTATTAGAAGGAGTTTCATTCAGAATTATAAGAAACTTTTGGGAAACAGAGTATCTAGAGAACACTACAGAAAATATATTTTTGTTATGTTTAGAGCATCTTTATTGAATGAATAATAAGTAATTAAAGTGAATAAATTAAATTATTTTTTGTGGGACCAAATTATCATGTAAGCTGTATAAATTTTTTTTTATTCATCTAATTTATTTTATTTTAGTGATAGTTGCTTATTTAATATTTAAACTTGGTATGTATATTTATATTTATTTATTATAATTAATTTAATTTAAATTTAATATCAATTTTATTTATTCTAATTAATATATATATATATATATATATATATATATATATATATATATATATATATATATATATATATATATATATATATATATATATATATATATATATATATATATATATATATATATATATATATATATATATATATATATATATATATATATATATATATATATATATATATATATATATATATATATATATATATATATATATATATATATATATATATATATATATATATATATATATATATATATATATATATATATATATATATATATATCATCCAATTAAATAGGGGTATAATTTTATCCGTCCTATGGGTGAGGGTGAGCAAATTGAAAGCTCAAACTTGTCCTTTCATATTTCAAAGATACATCTTTGGATGTACCTAAAATGCACACAACGCTCCACAAGTGAGCCATCCATTTCTTAGTTGTCAAAATTTTGTCCTGAGATGCATATAAGGAATCATCTTGGAAAAATTATAGAGATGCGTCTCTAGATTATCATCTTGTTAGCTTGAGATTTTTAGCTAAGTGAAAAGTCAACGAATTGATGGTTATAGCTACGTTGACATTATTAAATGTCTAAATCTTAAGCCAAAAAGCTTCAAAATATTAACTGTATCGACCTGTTGGTTCGACTAACCTATAAGTAGAGTTAAGGTCAAGCATGGTTTGGAGGAGTTTAAGAAATAGATCCACAAAATTATGATCACTCTCTCTTCAAAACATGTTAAGAATATTGAAAGATCACATAACAACCCTTCGACACAACGTCAAAGTTGACACTTTTAAATTTTAAGGACTTAGGATACTTTCAAGTCCAAAAACTATGTGATGTGGAGATGTTTCAACCTTCGACAAGGGCAGTTAAAGCGTTCAGAAACGGTTATCAATGCAGTTATCACCATGTTTTATTTGGTATTCAGCAGTTTCTCTTTGAAGACACATGGAAATAAGTTAGAGTAAAGTATCCCCACGTAGTAAGACACGCGTCGAACATGTAACCAGCGAAAGTTGTTGACTGTTATTTTAGGAATAATATATAATGCAGGCTTATGCATTCTAATCCAGGTTGTAAAATTCTCATTCATTATGTATATAACTAGCGTACCCAAGTCATCGATCGAAATAGTTTTGAGAAATGTGAGTCTACGTCCACTCTTTAAATATTTGTATTTCAAACATTTAGAATTAATGTCATTTACTTTATTTAGTTTTTTATTACTTTTTATCTTTATCCAAAATTTATTGCTCGCATTCAGTTGGTTTATTATCCAAGCGTTTTAAATCCAGATCACAGACTTTTCATTGTATCTTTTCTTTACACAAATTGTCTTTGAGATTTTTCTAGTTAATTTTTTAAGTAAACTAAATTCGTGATTGTTTACTAAAAACACTAGTAAATAAGTTGGCACGCAAAAGTATATTTTTGTAGAAAAGTTGTGTTCTTTTTATCAAAAAAATTTGTTCACTGTTTATAAAATGACTTCGGTTGTCAAGTGTGTATGCGTCTGAGGAGTGACAAGACTCTTCCTGAAATGTCATGCCCATCGTCTATAAACATTGCCCCTCCCTATAATAATGTTTTGTATAACACCCCAAATATACCTCGTGCGTTTAATTAAAAACCAGAGTGAATTCAAACATTTCATATTTAGGATGTCACACAATTCAACACAATCAACTGCTCATATATTAAGATATGTAACACATGCAATTACTTGAAAAATTATTTAAAATTACCATAACAACTCAACATGTCTTAATTTCAAAACTTTATTGAAATAGTAGAAGCATAAACATAAATAATTATTCAAAGTATAATTATTCTCCAAAATAACATAAACAAAAACTATTCTAGAGATATCCAAAAATCTCTATCAAACTCAACATAACACAATGTTCCCTGACTTCGGTGTTACACATGAGAGCAGACGGTGAAACTAAAGGAAAATATAATACTTCATCTTCTACTCACTTCAACTCCTCTACTGCAAGTTATCTGCACGGCGCATATGTAAAGGCAACATTCAAACAGAAGGGGTGAAATATCATAAATAGATAAAAGAAAACATGATAATAAAGAAAGTATTAGATTTCTCATGCACAAATACCTATTCCACAACAACCATCCAACACAACAACAACAACAACCATTCAACATACAACAACAACATCCAACATACAACTACAACATGTAACACAATAACAAATTCAACCAATATGCAATGCAATGAGACTCACAACTAGACTTAATGCATGTGGTACCATCGGTTCCTATTTTAGAACCTGATCCCTATTTTAGGATCACAATTCCCATCAGAATTTCTATAATGTTGCTCACAACTCACATGGGCACACGGATTCTGTGACCTCTCACACCCCACATGGGCACACAACCACCTCAATAACAATGACATCAACGATATGATTCCTCATTTAGGATGCGGATAAGACACTTACACCCCACATGTGTAACACCCTTTTCTACCCCACAATTATCATGGCAAAATAACACAGACGTCAGAATAAAATAATAAATTCAATAAAAGCCACCACAAAAGGGCGTACATTTTCCAAATCCTCAAAATAGGCCAAGGCTCTGTAAACAATAGGTTTCTCAAAATACATCAAATTGCACAATGCAGCGGAACTCAAAAGGCATAAATCAACATATAAAATGGCGTCATATTCATATTCAACACATTGATATCCTTCAATAGGCCTCAAAGGCCACAACATCATAAATTATTTCAAATGACTCATAAATGCAAATGCAACAAGACTCAATGCATGTGGCACCAATCATCACAGTGCGATGGACACTGGGCCATCAACCCTCCATAGATCCCCATCAATAGGATCGATTCTACTTGAGAATCGGAGCACATCAAAACACTTCACATTCGCACAATGGGATTGAAGCCAAAGTAATCGAGGTCCTAAACCGAAGTCCGGATGCACATGAATGCATGATGCACACGTCAATAATCATCCTCATAATAGCAACATAGGTGCATCATTATTCATCATATTCATCATCATCACAATCATCCTCATATCTCATGTCATCATATAATTCATCAAAGTCATGGTAATATCATCATAGTTTTCCAATCAATACATCATAGGAATCATCACATAATCACGTACACATCACATAACACTCACAGTCATACTCATGTTAATTCGTCAAAGAATCACATAATCAAACATCAAGGCATCGCTGCGCACGATCAACATTCGCAAAACTCTGCTACGTTCGCTGGCATGTTCGCTAGGCGAGTCTAGGGCGGATTTCTTTGCTAGGCGAGTCTGGGAACAACATGGTTTACTAGGCGAAGCATTATACGCTAGGCGAGCAGTGCGATAACAGCAAATTCTGCTACGCACCAGAACCTAAATCCACCCAAATGTCCACACGATTCACTTCCCCAATGCCCCCAAACATCCCTAAATCATCCCTAAGGTCTTACGACGATAAAGGCACAAAACCTACGGTTGATTAGGCAAATCCTGTATCATATTCACGCCCTAAATCACAAATTTCCCTACAATTATCCCAAGGCATTAGAGTTACTCATCATCTAATATTCCTATCCCTTCAGGGTTAGACAAATAACAATTCATGGTTTTGGCCACGAAGGCCTAACTTTTTCTTTTCCCCAATGAATTCCAAGGTTAGATTCACAATAACAGATTTAGGCCACGAAGGCCAAAGATCACTATTTCTCATACCCACCCTCAAAATCCCTTAAACCTTAAATCGACCTTAAATACATTGAAAGTTACACATGGAAAATCATGAAGGTAATACTCCCCATACCTTAATCGTTGATTCAAAGCCTTCACAAATCTTTCAGGGAATCTCTCAAAGCTTCTACCTCCAATCCTCTCCTCAAAGCTCTGGCCTCAATACTTTTCACGGTCTAACAAATGAATCCTAATCCATTTCCAATTTCCTTTTTGTTAAACCTAGTCTTGGGCCTCACAATCGGGCTTTCTCCATAATACCCTCACTAACTCCTCTGAATTGTCCCAATTGCCCTTATTCATCTTATATTTATTTTAATTCATAATAATATTAATAAATTCATATTACATACTATTATTCAAAATAAATAACCCCAAAAATGCACAATTCTCAATAATCCACAAAACCACCAAAAAATGAATATTCTCAATTAAATAAATAAATAAAAATATTCCAATTAAATTTGGGGTGTTATTGTCGCGGTGAAACTTGGATACCAAGCTATTGATGAGCTTGAATCTTAATTCATTTGCAACCGAACTTTGATTTGTCCAAAGGAAGGGATAAAGATCGAATTACCCACAATGCAATGCACATGCAAAGGTTAGAGAGTTATAGGTTCGGGGGTTGGTTAAACTTAGGGAAGGTGCTAGCATCCTAAGTTTCTGTAGTACTCTACAGGAACCTCTTGTTTTATGTTGTTTATTGCTAAGGATTATCTGCTTAAGGATGAAAGACCTAGGGGTTTATTTCTAAG